GAACAATATAGCTATATTCTTTGCTTTTTTCTCTAATATAGTTATTAGACTAAAAAACCCAAAAAAAAAGCTTACAGAAGAAAATTATAGAGAAGAAGAAGATGAATCTTTTTCCGATTGCGTTGACTTTCTCTCTCCCGTACTTAAACAGCTTCAGCTCTTGGCATCGCTTCATCTCAGCCGTCCCTACATGTTTTAATCTCGACCCTCCAAGTAATCACTTCTTAACTTCATCTCTTATTCCCTACAACAAGATGTAATTAGGTTTTGGGTCATGGAAGTTGGAGTAGCAGAGTCGAGTGGTTAGGAATCGAAGCAGATAAATGTTTGATGAGCTAAGAAAGTTTGATTCGCCAGTGAGATAACTTAAAGAACACTAATTTAACGGTGGAGATTGGTTTAGCTTTTCTCTGATTTTTTTCAGAACGTGACATTGAGTTTTAATTAGATAAAGTCAACAATAAATATGAAGGATAAGATTAACTTTTCTCTGAATGAAATTGCCTGAATATTAAGTGCTTTAATTTGTTATAACACTGATAAAAAAGAATTTACATAATAAAACTCTTTTGTGCAAAAAGTGTAATATCAAAATAAGGCATTTTGGTGTACTGGGCACTTTCACCTAACAAAAAAACCAATAATACTTTTTTTATTTTCTTCTCTATTCTTTTATCTCTCTTCTTCGTATGTTCTTGGCATGGTTTCTGAAACCAATAATTCATTTTACATTCTGAAACCAATAATTCTTTAACTAAAGAGAGAAACAGTTATGAACTAAATCTAAACCTCACTTCCCTCAATTCATAGATAGAACAAAATTCTAAGTAGGGTTATTGGTTCTTGTATTTTGGTGGATTTATAAATTTTCTTTAGATTTGATAAATTTATTGATTTCAAAATCAGCAAAATGGAAAAAAATCAAATCCACTCAAATACCAAGGTTAGATCTTGCTTTGATTGGATTATTTCCTTTATCAGAGTGATTATAGATCTTGATTTTATATTTTTATCTTCTATTTTTGGCCAAAACCCATCTTCTATTCTTAAGGTTTTATAGATTTGATTTTTATAGATGTGTGGCTGACGATCTTAAACTTCTCCTGCAATAAACATCATAGATTTCAGTTAATAACACAAACTAAATGTCGTAGCTCTGCCTCTGCTTCCGTCAAAATCATGTTCTCGTAACATGATCTTGTCCACAAGAAACAATCCACCGGAGATTATGATTCGTAAGCCATTGTGGACATCTATATATATATATATATATATCATCGTGGATACATAAATATGTATATTTTGTTGTCTTCATTTATCCATATGCTATATTTACTGTTGATAACCAAAATTCTTATCATGTTTTGTAAATCACTGTAGACATCCATTTAGTTATCTAATCCCATTCGCTCTCCTAGCTTTCGTCTCTCACTGTCAGTGTCGGTTCAGCTTCAAGGAGAAAATAAAATGGAGCACCTAACAACGTATCTTCACAGACCAAGAACTACGAGATCGACATACCAACATGTATACCTTATTGTCTCCATCTATCCATATGTCCCACTCACCATTGACAACGAAAACTCTTATCATGATTTGTAAACCATCGTGGTCATCCATATGGATACACCACCGTGGACATACTCCAACATGTACATCTCGTTGTCTCTGTCTATCCATATGCCACACACATTCACCATTGACAGCCAAAACTTATATGACAATTTATAAACGATCGTGAACATCTATTTGGATACACTACTGTGGACATACCAATATATATACTTTGTTATTTCCGTCTATTCATATGCATGTCACACTCACCATTCACAATCAAAAATCTTATCAAATTCGTCCATGTTTTCCAATCCAGCTATTCCTGATTATGTTCTCCGAAAATGTTCATACTTACTTTTTAGTCTATTTTCACTTAATTTTCATAAAAAATATTCTAGTCAGTTCAAGTCAAAAAATTCATCTAAAGTACTTTACTATTTGAAAATACCTTATTTTGTAACAAAGTTTGTAAGATTTTCTTGATAAAATATCTTTTAGTGTAATATTCTCTAAACATAATGTCGATAAAATAACTTACATACTGTATATAGACTATTACTTATAGTATATAGTATTATATATATTATTATACTTTAATGTTTTGTATCGTGTCATTACTAAACTATATTCAAATTCTATGATTTTTTTTTAAAATGATATTCATATACAGTTTATAACGTATAATAGAAACCAAACTATATTATTCTATTTTAGTTTGACTGGATTATTTCGGTTTCGGTTTTGCCGGATTGAAACAGGCTAACGCCAGTTCCATCTTCCAATGTATATGAATAAATTAAATCAATTTTAAGGTTCAAACTGGCTATACAAAATTTGTATAGATAAATTTTATTGATAGAGTAAATCGTTGATGAACTGTGTCTGTCATAACTAATTGAATATTTTGATCAAAAGAAACTATGTCATAACCTTAACCGTGATATATTTGGTTATGTTTGAAATATAAAATAAAATAAAACTAGATTTTAGATTTGCGCACTTGCGCGGATTTCTTTTAATAAAATATTTTTAGGCCACACTAAAAATTGGTTTATATTAAATTTTTGTTTAAAAAGTCAGCTTATATTATTAAATCCAAAATTGTAGCCCAAACAAAAAATTTTATTAGATTATATAAACTATTTTTACATTATGATTTTATGTTTTTAAAATTATCTAGGCTTGATTTTATAAAACAAAATATTTTGTTTAGCGATTTTTCTGTTAAATTTTGTAATAAATATTTCAAAATTTTATATTTTATAATGCAAGGGAGATTTTATTTGTTTGTAATTAAGATTTTAATATTTACTTAGACTTTGTTTGTTTTTGCACCTAGATACTGATTTGGATGTAAATGCTCAAATATTATTCTTTTAAATATTTGGATACAAAATCTATAATATCTCAAAATTTAAATTTTTAAAATGCTAAAAAATAGAGTTTGGATGCAGCATTTGAATCTCAAAAATTAAAAGACCAAAACACCTTTTAATTTAAACCACAAAATCAAGTTTTTTCTTTGTCAAAACCATAAAATCAGTTTTTTATCGAAATGAAAAGTCACATTTTCCTGCAAAATACTAAAATCACGTTGTTGTACCAAAATCGAGAATTGCCGTAGAAACTGTAAAAACAACATTTTCCATCAAACATCATTTACCTGCCAAAACTGTAAACCCACATTTTTTTAACAAAACCAAAAATTACTAAAATCATGTTGTTGTACTAAAATCGGGAATTCCCGAAGAAACTGTAAAAATTGCATTTTCCATCAAACCGTATTTTTCTTCCAAAGCTGTAAACCCATATTTTTTTAGCAAAACCAAATATTATGTTTTCTCCAACACCATAAAACCGTATTTTATGGCCAAATTTCTAAAATTACTTGTTCTTGTTAAACCTATAAAATTTGTATTTCTCATCAAACCCGCAAACCTGCATTTTTAATAAAATCCATAAAACCACATTTTTCTATCAAACCCGCTAAAACATGTAAACCTCATAAAATTTGCAAAATCACGTTTCCGCCCAAATCCACAAACCCATATATTCCATAAAATTGTAAAATCCATAAAATCGTGTTTTACGACCAGATTTTTAAACTCACGTGTTTCTGCCAAACCTGCAAAATCGAGTTTCCAAATTCACAAACCCGTATGTTCCGATATGACTACATTTTCCCACTAAAACCTGTAAAACCCATAAAATCCGCAAAATTGCGTTATTCGCATTCCGCAAACCCGTGTTTTCCCATAAACCCATAAAATCTGCAAAATCATGATTTACGACCAGATTTCTAAAATCATGTGTTTCTGCTAAATCTACAAAAGCACATTTATTTTCAAACCGGCATTTTCTCGTAATATTATATTTTCTGCTAAAACTTATAAAACCCGCTAAAACTTGTAAAACCCGTAAAATCTACAAATTTGTGTTTGTCAAATCCACAAACCCATGATTTCCAGCAAAACAAAATCATTAACAAACCAAAAAAAAACAAATTATTTAGATAATATGTTTTTCACAGTATGTATATATGTAACCAAAAAATAATGATTACATATTCATTATTGACTATAAATTATGACATTTAGTAAATACCATATTAGCTTTTAGATATTTTAAAGTAGTGCTTTTTTTAATTGTATAGAGAATAAACTGATTGTAATATAATATATATTTAATTTATAATATAATATATAATTATATTAGTTATTCATGTCATATATATGTGGAATTATGTTAAGATATTATGAAAGATTATGAAATAATTTCGAAATTAAATTAATTTGAATTTATTAATATTATAATTTATTGGTATTATCTGTTAACAAACTAATATAATTTAATTTAATTTAATGCATTTTTAATAGTTTAATAATATGACTAAATTACCCTTAATAAATTAATGAAATTATCTAGTAAATATAATAGCATACATTGTAAATACCATAATAGCTTTTGAATATTTATTAAAAATGATTCTCTTTTAATAGTTTAGATATTGATCCAACTAATGTTGAAATCAGTTATTTAAATTTATCACACATCTCACATAGGAGATAAGAATGATGACTATTTTAAATTAATATGTTATGATATATCTACTTTTTTTTAAGAGACTGCATTTCCAGTGTTAGATTTAGTAAACATAAATAGTGGCGGAGAATAGAAATATTATTGATAAAAATAGAAAGAAATAGTTATGTACAATATTATTTCACTAATATATCCTATCATCATAAAAAAAAAAAAAATTCTCTAGAAACAAACATACCTAAAAATTGGAAGGTATCTACACAACTATAATTATATAATTACATTAGTAACAAAATATCAATTATGCTTACAATATGGAAAGTTGTTCCTCAAAAGATCTAGAAGAAGTCAGCATGCAAATGCTACCAAAATAACAACTCCCATTCGTCATTCTATAAAACCATTTCTCCCCATTCTCACTTCTTCACCACACCACAGCAAACCTTTAATTTACCCTACCGTGAAAAACGTGATTTTTTTCATATACTTTTATTTATCATACATAATGATTTTGATAGTGTCGTATGTGTTCGTGGTTCTAACCATTCCTTCCATGAATTTTAAGATCTCTCAAGCCATATCCTATGTCACTTTTAACCAGTCATCCATTGGTCATCACCACGAACAATGGATGATCCAGTTCTCTCGAGTTTATATCGATGAATCCGAGAAACAGGTGAGGCTTGAAGTGTTTAAAAAAACTTGAAATTCATTGAGAACTTCAATAATAAAGCGAATCAAAGCTACAAACTTGGTGTCAACGAATTTACGGATTTGACCAAAGAGGAGTTCCTTGCCACCCACACCGGTCTCAGAGGCAGTAACGTAACTTCACCATCTGAAGTGGTTGATAAAATGATGCCATCTTGGAATTGGAACGTCAGTAATGTCATCCCCCAGAGCAAAGACTGGACAAAGGAAGGAGCTGTAACACCAACCAAATCGCAAGGAGGATGTAGTAAGCTTAATTGATAACCTGAATTATATATTATAAACAGTCTCTACCAGAACGAAGAAAGTAAGTAGCTGGATCAGTAACATAATCAATCGTTAGGGGTATCATTCTAGGTTTAGGGTTACGAATACAAAGCTCGTTCCCTAACTATGATAATCAATATATGGGCAGGTAGTTGTTGGGCATTTTCAGCGATTGCAGCAGTGGAAGGTCTGGCAAAGATTACTCGAGGAAACCTCGTATCACTGTCCGAACAGCAGCTTGTAGATTGCGATAAACCGGCTAACGGTGGTTGTAAGGGGGGAACAATGGAAGAAGCTTTCAACTACATAGCGAAAAATGGAGGCATTTCTTCAGAAGACGCATACCCTTATCAAGTGAAAGAAAGGAGTTGCCAGTTCAACATCAAACCCGCCATGCATATAAGAGGGTTCCAAAGGGTTCCACAAAACGATGAGCTTCAGTTGCTCGGGGCCGTATCGAGACAGCCTGTATCGGTGAGCATTACATCGACCGCGGTCAGTTTCATCCATTACTCAAGCGGAGTGTACAATGCGCCTGACTGTGCAACAACCATCTTTGATCATGCAGTGACGTTGGTTGGGTACGGGACGAGCCCTGAAGGGATCAAGTACTGGCTGGCAAAGAACTCTTGGGGTGAGACTTGGGGAGAGAATGGTTATATTAGACTCCGTAGAGATGTGGAGTGGCCTGAAGGCATGTGTGGTATAGCTCAGTTTGCTTCTTATCCGGTTGAGTAATTAATTATGTTAGATGATTTATATTGAAGTATTCAAACATTATGGAATGTACTTTTACATATTTGTATTTTGATAGTATATGTTTTAACTTATTTTAGTAATATATATATATAATAATAATAATTTTAAGATGGGTTAATTGAAACATCTCTATAATATTGTGTATTACTGTATTTTTATTAAATGTTCTTTGTTTATTCAATTTGATCGGTTTATTACCAGATTATATTCAAAATCTACGATTTCTAAAACATGATATTCATACAGTTTATATGATATAACCGAAACCAGATTATAATGTTTTAATTTAGTTTGAATGTAGATTAGTTTGTTTCGGTTTCGCCGGGTTGAACATCCCAACACTAATTCCATCTTCTCTCTTCTATACCAAAATATAAGATGTTCTAGAAAAAAGTATAAAAATTAAGAAATTGTTTTTTTTTTTGGGTTTAAAAGCATTATTATTTGAAAACATAATTTGACCAATCATAAAATACTGCTGAATGTTAAAAGTCAAAAGTATTAAAAAAGCATTAAATTTTGCATAAAAACTTGTAAAATATCCAAACAAATTCCAAAATGATTTTTTACCATAGGACAGAGGGAATGATATTTAATTAAATCATATTTGAAATTTTTACTGGTATACAATGATAGATAATAATATATGGATAAAGTAGAAATCCTTAGAAAATATCTGTCATGACCTTAATCTTGATATATATGTTTATATTTGAAAAAATAAAATAAAATGAAATCTTTATCCAACTATTGTTGAAATCAATTATTTAAATTTATTACACATCTCACATACGAGATAGGAATGATGACTATTTTAACAATTAATATGGTATGATATCTAGTTTTCTCAATAAACTAAATTTCGAATGCTATTGTTGGGACGCAAAATGTAATTACGGCTATAAGGACTCAACGCGTGGACAATAAATGTGGTGGGAATTCAAGGTGTATTTAATGCGCTCCATTTATCAAAGAATGTTGCAATGATGGCAGTTAAAAGAAAACGGAGCAGGTCTTTCTTTCTGACTACATGCATGGAAAAGTTTAAAAATGGTGATAATTATGGTAAAGAATAGAAATAAGAACCTGATCCAAGCAATCTAGAGACCCGAACACGAATCCGACCAGAAACTATGTATCATCTATAAAAATACACTGCTCGCGCTAACGAGAGGAGGAGAACCAATTTAAAACGATAACTTTATCTTATAGCTTCATTTTCACTAAAGAATACAACTCCCGAAAGCTCTATCAAGATCCTTTCGAGTTGATAGAGTGTCCCATGCTCTATTCTTCCGATATCTTAGCACGCTTCGTCCAATCACCTATCTTTTTTGATTAGAGTGTCAGAGTGTAATCGGAAGGACAACCCCTTTCTAGTTTACCGAGATCCTCTTTCTTTGTTCCTTCATTCACTACAAGAAATATGGACATTGGTAGCAGATCATTGTAGCACGAATTCACAAACTGCTACTAAAAGTACCAAAACCGGATGCCAAATCTATCGTAGCGTTAAATTCGCACTGGGCAAGGTTTTCATTAAGCGGGAACATAAAAATCAGTACTATAGCTGGAAAGTCATTTTCGAGCAAAACACTTAGCCAAATTTTAGGGTTTTTCGCCACTTATACAGTTAAAACACTTAGCCAAATTTTGTCGTGTGGAAAATTAACTTTTTTGTCTGAAAATCTCAACATCTCTCGTCTGAACCACGAATCCCGTTTCCGATCACATTCTCAACCTCTGTCACCTCGATTTCCTATTTCCGTTCACATTCTCGACCTCTGTGGCCTCAAAATCAGCTCTCCTCCTTCCGGATCTGGTGTCATGTCCGCCGCTTTCGACCACATAGAATCTCGAAGAAGAAACCCAGGAAAGGTAATCGAATTACAATTTCTCTAATTTCTTTTCATTAACTCTCATTATAGTAGAAATCGAAACCATGAAGATATCTTCGAGGACATAACACGAAGATAAACAAAAGAATCAATCTCTTTTACAATCTTCAGGTTACTCTTTTCAAGTTAAGGTTCTATCTCGTTTGAAATCTGTTTTTTTTTTTTTGCAATATAAATCCAGATATTGATGCTATTGGTTTGCATGTTGAATTTTGCGTTTGCTAGCTATACTTGCTTTGTTTTGCTCGTTTGGCTTTCTGACTCCTGTTTGTTTTTTTTGTCTATCAGGCCAGCTATCTAGAGCACCGAGGGATCCCGACATCAAGCACCAGTTAGAATTGTTCAAGCGAGGAGAAGTTGTCTGGAGCACGTTCACGCGAGAACGAGTTCGACGAGTTCTTACTTTGCCCGTCCCGGCTCCGGTTGTCGCGCACCTGGTAAGTTTTTCTGTCGACCCTTGCTTATTGGATCTCAGTGAAGTGATATGCAGTGATTTGTTTTGCTGGCAGCTAGAGTCCTTCCTTTCCGTTCTCTTCCAGCTTCCAGTTCAGCAAGCTCAAGTTCAGCCATGTCTCGCAAACCGACCTTCCGTTAGAGATCTGGGAAAGCCCCGGCTGGTCCCAGCAGCTCCAGGGTACGCTTCAGCAGTGTCAAGGAGGCCCTTGAGCCGCGCTTGCCTTAACTGCTGCTTCCATGCCTCATCTCCGTGATGAGGAGGTTGAGCAAATGATGAACCCTCAGCCCGACCCCATTCCTAGATTAGTGGAGGCGATCTCCGTTAGCTCAGGCATGACCCTGCGCTCTGTCGACGATCAAGAGCCCGAGCACTCGTCCCAACCTGCCTCCAAGAGGCCAAGAGACGACGGAGGAAGTCGGGCTATAGAGGCACATCCATCGGCGTCTAACGGGAGTGGTGACTCGACGGGTAGCCAGCCGTTCCACTGGAAGTTTAAGCACACCAAGGATCACCCGATCACGGATGATTCCGAGGGCATGGTGGTCATGTGGCGTCATTTCAAGTCCACTGGGTGCCGACTTCCTGCTCTCAAGAAGATGACCGAGAGAGAGCTCTACGTGGAGATAGCATCGGTCCAAGGGAAGGTAAAGGGTTTCCCTTTTTCCTTTGTGTTTTTAGTTAAGTGTTGTTCATCTTTACGTTTTGGTTCTTGATGCTCACAGGCTGCGGAGGCTGGGAATCGGCTCTATGCTCGTCTCGAGCAGATGCTGCGGGACGTCCCTCGTCCAGAGGAGATTGAGGAGAAGGTAGTCGGCAAGTTGAAGTCCGACCTTGAGGCCGCGAATGTGCATGTCCCTCGCCTGACTAACCTCCTTAAGCAGCTCAGAGGCCATCAAGCTCACATCACTGATCTCGAGAACGAGCTGGTCGACAAAGGCGAGAATTCCAAGGTTGCCGCAACCAGATCTTCGTGGCCTAAGCTGAGACGGTGCAAGATCTCCACAAATTCTCGGACGCGAGGGAGGTAAACCTCTGGCTGATCCGCGAGCGTGAGGGTGCTATCCGCCAAGCCAGCCGTGAGGCCCGGAAGGAGATGCTATCCGCACCTGTGAAGTAGAGTAGGACTTCGAACTTAGTTGATTTGCGAAATGGGAGATGTGTAACTTGTGTTTTTTGGGAAAGGCATCTAGGATAGGTGGCTCCCCCCCCCGGAAGGAGTGAGGTACGTGTGTACTGTAGCTTGCTTATGTCGAGGTGCGGGAGATTGGGAGTGCTTGGGCTTCGAGGTTGGTTGGATAGGACTACCCCCCCCGAACAAGCGTGCGGTGTGTGAGCTAGAGCTCGCTTGTTATGATGTGCGGGTGGGCGGGCTATGTTTTAACCTCGAAGCCGAGCTATGGAGCTCGAGTTTGATTTGATGTATTTCAGCTTATAGATGTATGACGAGGGTGGTCCGACCTGTTTTGGTTTGTGATCTTGGTTTTGACAAATATAATTGTTGCTGAGTAATTGATTATTATTCCAACTAAAAGAGAAGGAAAGATCATACAAAGTAGGGTCGTCGGGTATAGCTCGCCTATTGATGTTGTCATGCTGAGGAATAAAAACTTGATAAAAATTGGTGGCTAAACTCGTGGGTCGAGCTGCCTACGTACCCCGTAAGGGGGAACAAGCCTTGACGTAGTTCGATTTTTTAAAGTGCTTTTAGCGATATTACCTCTTGAGGTTCATTACGTTTCAAGGTTTTATCTCGGGCACCCTGTTTCGTACTTTCGTGAGCTTGTAGACGCCGTCGCGAACTACTTCGGTGATGCAATAAGGACCTTCCAAGTTGGTTCCTAGTTTCCCAGCACCGGGCTCCTTGGTGTAATCTTGTATCTTGCGCATGACCAAATCTCCTACGTTGAATCTCCGGTGTTGGACCTTCGAGTTGTAGTAGCAAGCTGCGGCCTGCTGGTAATTTTGGATCCTGATCAATGCTTGATCTCAACATTCGTCGATCAGATCGAGCTGGTCCCATAAAATCTGCTCGTTGAGTTCGGTGTTTGTCGGGCACAGAGTCTGACAAAGACTAGGAACTACAGTTTCTGTTGGAATTACAGCTTCCAGCCCGTAAGATAGTGAGAACGGTGTTTCGCTGGTTGCTTTGTGAGGCGTGGTTTGGTAAGCCCAAAGTATGGCCGAAATGTGTTCGGACCACCTTTCTTTTTTGGCGTCGAGCCGTCTCTTGAGATTGCTCATGATGGTTTTGTTCGTTGCTTCAGCTTACCTGTTTCCTTAAGGATAACGAGGTGTGGAGTAAGATATTTTTATCTTCCACTTTGCGCAGAAGTCTTTGAAGTCTCACGATATGAACTGCGAACCGTTGTCCGTTAAGATTTCATAGGGAAGCCCGTGACGACAAATCACGTTTTTTCAGATGAAGCTGCGTACCTGGAGTTCAGTTGTTTGCTGATAAGCTTTAGCTTCTATCCACTTGGTGAAATAATCATTAAGCACTAGCAGGAACCTGAATTGCTTAGGTCCCGAAGGGACCATAGGTCCTACTATGTCCATTGACCACCTCATGAATGGGTAAGGTGTCGAGATCGACGACAGTCTTTCTTCTGGACAATGGATGATCGGGGAATGCCTCTGACATTTGTCACAGCTCTTGGACAGTCGTTGACAGTCTGCTATCATGGTCGGCCAGAAATAGCCAAGTTTCTTAATTTGAATGACGAGCACTCGACCTCCAGTATGACTTCCGCAGGGACCTTGATGAGTGTCAGACATTA